AGGAAAGATAAAAAAAAATCAAATATACAGCATCGTCCTTTATATCTCTTTAATATTGGCCAATGGACGTTGCAAACTGCAACCACAAATTTTGTAATAAAATTTATAATCTTGAACTTCATCCAAAGTTTGAATTATTTACAAGGCAGAAAAAATCATGCATAATGAGCTGCATCCGATTTCACTTGACCTGGATAGATACACGCTTGTGTGTCTAGCAAAATGTTGCGTTTATTTTTATCTATAGTAATTATATTTTACATTGAAATATTCACATACTAAATAGTGTGTTGAAATAACATTGTTAGGCAATTTATAATTTCATTTGTGTAATTCTATTAATCTGTGTACTGGTTAGTTCACACTCAAATAGATTTGTATGTTATGTGTTGCTATTTGTAGGCAGTTATATCCTTACAGAACTCCAAAATTTATTAGTAATTGCTTTCCAAAAAAAAACTTTCGATCCATAACTTATTTTTTTGAAAGTAGATGTTTGGCAAAATAGCCAATGAGCCCCCTCATTAAAGTTTTATCCGTTTCGATACATATTTTACAGTACAAACTGGAACAAGAAGACATAGGAGAGTTTGTCCTACAATTCAGTACAATCACCTGCATTTCACTTTTTTTTATTCATTCATTCATTCATTTATTAATTCATTTTATTTTTATTTTATTTTATTTTATTTTATTTTATTTTATTTATTTTATTTTATTTATCTATTTATTTATTTTATTTATTTTATTTATTTTATTTATTTTATTTATTTTATTTATTTTATTTTATTTTATTTATTTTATTCATTGTATTTATTTTATTTATTTTACTTATTTTATTTATTTCATTTATTTTATTTATTCATTTTATTTATTTACTTTTATTTTTTGTCTATTTAGATATTTTTTGTTTGTACTGAATATTCAGTTTTCTATTTTTATACCACTTACTGAACAATACTAATTAGCTTGCCTTATGCGGTATTGAAATAACAAATTATAAATTCAGTGTAAACAATGAAAAATTTAATTTCCAAATACCGTACCAAAGCACCTGTGAGCTATATGTTGGATTGTTATCAAGACACACATTACATTATTTACAAACATACAAAATTCAAAGTCAACACACATTCATATCATATAGTCGTATTATATATTTTACTATTCAGATACAAATTTAGAATGTGATATTTTTGTAAATTTGAAAATAAAAGTACAATACTCTTGTCTATATATCAAACCAAAATTAAAACAAAGGAACCAAAGTACTGTATTCATGTGTTTGTATAGATAAAAAAAGGAAAATACTAAAAATACAAAATTCCAAAAAAAATTTAAAACAGAAAGTCCTTTATCAAATGCAAAATCAAAAGCTAAAACACATCACACGAATGGAAAAAAATATCATATTCCGGACTTGGCACAGACAAAAATTATCCAAATTAGAAAAAGGCAGATTAAACCTGGTTTGATGGTTAGCTAAACCTTTCATTATATGACAATCGCATAAACAACAATGTGTGAACCAAACAAACAGATATAAAAAGTATAATTGTCAACAATTGGGGTACAACAGTCTCTACAAAAGCAAACAGCTATGTCAACAAAGTAAACAAAAATACCGTGTGACTCCAAAGAAAAAGTACAGAAGCAAAAATGAAAGTCAAGAATTATGACAATAACAAAGTATTTGACACAATAGCGGGATGTATTGTTACAGAGACAGGCCAAATAGATATTACTGAAAGGGGACTTAACAGTACAGATTAAAAGTAAAGAAAAGACATGTAAACAGAAAGCATATGCAGGTTTACTGGTGAAGCGTAGTGAAAGATTCAAATAATATTCTGCACCACGATAGTTAGTCCCATCCGCCCGATATCAAATGGACGTTCCATGAAATTAAGGGTCAATTATTATCGAAATAATTTCCAAATCACTAACCTATCCATCTGTTCAGACTGTGTTAAAGATTATTGTTGTACGAGAAATGCATGCATAGTTTAAAGATCCAAAAGGAAATACACTTTTTTTATGGGAAAAATTTATCACCCCATGGGAACATTTTTTCTGTCCATGGGAACATTTATTATTCCTATGCAAACAATTGTTTTTCCTATGGTAACAATTTATCCCCCATGGAAAGATGTATTCTACAATAGGAAAATATTTTCCTTTTAATGTTTTTTTCCTAGGAAAATTGAAATTTGTTTGAAATACAGGATTTTTGTTAAATTATTTTTAAATTAGTAATTACGTTTTCAACAATATATCAATATGATTTCGTATCGAAAGTTTACTTAAATACAACTTCCATAAAACACTGATTATCCTTTAAAGTTTAAAGTTGTGTTTGTATCTGTGTTGTGATAACAACATATCCTTTTGCAATATTGATGTACATTTTGATTCTTTCGTTTACCGTAAATTGTATTCAAAAAGAGGGGCGAAAGCTGTTGTTCCATGAAATTGTATTTTTTTCTCTCCAAATGATGGTTGATGAGAACAATATGTATGAAATACATAATTATTTCATGTAATGATTTCAAATACATTAATTGCGTAGACATGTATAAACGGAACAATTTCATCATTTCTGGCAATATGAACAACAGCAGTGACTCAACGTTTTGAAAATTTACTGTTATTGTCTGTAGTAAAATTATAACAAATTGTAAGTTTTCACATAAACTAAATACTTCCATATAGCAGAATTCTTTGTAATTCATAAACTTTGAATGTGATAAAACTGCCCAGGAAAGAGATTCAAAATTAATTTGTTTGTTTGTCGTTGGTTTGTGTCTGCAATATTTGTTTTTTCGTAAATTGAATAGTTGAAGGTTGTACGGTGACCTTTGATCGTTTCATCTTCGTTATTTGAACTCTGGAAGATAGTTGTGTCATTGGCAGTCATACCACATCTCCTTATTTCTATATTATCATTTTAAATAGAGATTAAATATATTTGAACTATACACTAGATATATATGTCTTGGTGCAATCAAACTAGTCAGTAAGTCCTTTTTACAATTTGTTTTCCTGGCAAAAATGAACAATTATTGATGTATACAGTTAAAATTGACAATGGAAATTGGAGTGTACCAAAGAGACAAAACCCGACTAAAGAGCAGATAACAAGCCAAAAGCCATCAAATGTCACCAACATGTTTAACTTTAAGAAATTTGTTTTAGAATTTGATCAAAAAATTTATATAAAAAAAACAATTTAATACTTCATGTTCTTCAATTTTTTTCATACCTTCTGTCCTACCTTTTTATTGTTGAATGTAGGGAGAAAGGTCACAGGAAATGAGGTCACAACAATAATATTTAAAGTATCATTAAATAATTTTATCTTTTTTTTGTACTTTTTTCATTTAAATATTTTCTTTAAAAGAAATATTAAAATGTGTTAACATTTTCCTACTCCTTCAATGTGTTTTCCTCTTAAAAAGGCTATCAATTCGATGTACTGCCTTTATATTTGAGTTAAAATTAGATACTTTTATACTTTTCAACAATTACATTCAGAAGCACTATATTTCGAAAAAAAACCTAGTAATATGGATTGTTTTGTGTTTTTGTTCTACAATTTCCTCATATTTTTCCCAATTTTATGTATAACATTTTAATTTTCCCTGGGTTATTTGAAAACTGTTCACAGTTACAACTCAAATATGACAAATTAACCTCAAATTATTCAGTGTTTCTGCTGTGGGTTTTGTTTTGTTTTCTTTTATGAATTATTTAAAAATAAAAAGATTAGGTATTTTACAAATTCTCTGAAATTGATTACAGAATCTGTAAAATAAATCTAAAATCTAAAAACTTTCACTAATTTTGTAATATTTCAAGTCAACAACTGGGATTTTCAGGAAAAATCACTGAAAGAATCCACACCACGTGAGTACAACGTGAAACGAGCAGAAAAACGTAATATTCACGTTCTGTATAATAACAATTTAAGTTGCTAGACAGACGAAAATATTTGTTTCGGGATCAGTTGAAATGACCCTCTGGTATATATTCCTTCCCTACTGGCACTGTGATGGAAGATAAAAATAACTGAGTAGGGTTCACTGTGCCATCGGGAGGACTCCATTGACTACTGTTACAAGAACGAAGGTGCCATCAATAAAAACTTGACACGTATTTCGGTTTGTTAGCGAAGTTAACAAAAAGAGAGACTGTCATTGTTTTCTGCAGACATGATTGTTAAAGGAGGGGGTTATCGAACCGTCAAGACTATTCATGCACGTATGAGGAATGATTTTGACACATACGTTATCATAGTGTCCTCGATGTGTAGTTTTACTCCATTGGCTGTCGATTTTTTTGCTGCATTTGAACTAGAAAATTATTTTTATCTTCGATCTATCAAATTTCAGAACTACATGATTTTTTTTATTACACTTGTTGCATATTAGTTATAAATATCTTATACTCGTTCTACTTTGTATTGTTGATTATCAACGCCAGTGATCCGTTCATTGAATACCTGTGGGTTTTTATCAATATATGTGTCAGTTTTTAAACATAAGTCATTTTCAAAAAATATATATCTTTTGTGAAATTTTTTTGTTGAAAATCCGATATTTGACATTACTAGTAAACAGAAACAAACAAATGGAGGTACAATGTATATAAATTTTGTTTTTATATTCTTAATGAATAAAATAAAAAATATCTTCATATGGACAGTATTTAAAGTCTATCGTATCTAAATCTAGAGGGGCGTTCTTCAGTACATAACTTTAACCCAAAATATATATCAAATAAGTCACAGATTCGGAGTAGAAAATTGTCTCCCACTATGTATTTTCATCTATGGGACCAGCAATTATATGTGTACTTAGAAATCATGTACACGATTACGGTTTTGTTCAGGGAAAATAGAAAGTAAGTTAATAAAGCGAACATTTTACGTTTTGTTTCATACCTGAATTCCACAAATTCGAATTACAAATATATAAATCATACAGCTGTAAACTCCTTACCTTTACTCGCTATTATTCCATTTGGAAAATTATAACTAAATACTGCTATACGGAAGTTACTTAGTGTCCATTGATATCACGTGACAAAAGAATGGTTTTTCAATATAGAATAACTGATGCATAATGGAGGATAACAATTACACAATTTCTATTTATATATAATAAATCCTTACAGGAAATCAAAAGATAACAAGTAATAGCTTCTCAAAAAAGCTTTCGATTAATAACTGATCATTTGGAAAATAGATATTTGGCATTATATCTTCATCCATTTTGAATTAACAGTGCAAACCTTGTTTATTTATTTATTTATTTATTTATTTATTTATTTATTTATTTATTTATTTATTTATTTATTCATTTATTTATTTATTTATTTATTTATTTATTTATTTATTCATTCATTTATTTATTTATTTATTTGCTTATTTGTTTATCTGTTTATTTATTTCTTTAATTTTTTTTAATTAAAATATTTTTCGTATCGTTATAAATTCAATTTTCTCTTTTTATACCACATACTAAACACCACTTATCAGCTTGCCTAATGTGGTATTGAAATAAAAAATTAACTATTCAGTGTAACACTGAAAAACTATCCAAATACTGTACCCAAGCGCCTGTAAGCTATTTCATGGATTGTTACCAAAAAGTAAAATAACAAGACAAACATAGAAACAATATTAACAAACATACAAAATTCAAATTTAACGCACATTCATATTATATAATCATTTATAATGCTGCACTCGTTCTATTTGAGCAGTCACAATGCGTTGGTTGTATGTTTCTATGCCATATACAGTCACTGACCCGATATCAGTTTTCCTCATGAATATTTAAATAGTAGTTGCCAGAACTACTTTTTGATTATTCATGACGACATCTTCAACATTACTTCTATTTCCAATGTAAACAAAAGTGTTTTATTTCCAAATCGCGATAAACGTGAACTGTTTATTAAGATGAAATGTCCTGAAACTTGTCTCGGAAATGAAAGGATGGCATGATTACAAGTTTGAACCCTGACGACACTGAAAATCAAAAATTCACGCATTTACTTATCATATGAAGATACGATGAGGTGATAAACTTAACAATTAATAATTTACCTGATTCATTATCATATTCACATTATGTTGACACGTCTGAGTTCGTTTGTGCGAGCTCATTTCAAACAAGCAAAACAATTACAGCATCATCCGTTTTTATTTACCGATCGCCTTTAGTCAGAAGAGCGCACTGTTTACAGGGGAGGTAATATTTTGTCACCAGTTCGCGCACTAAGTTCTTTCTTATAAGACTTTAAACATTGGTAGAAAATTGACATGTATAAAGGGGATACATTTACAATTCAGGATATACCTGGCTTCAATGACATCTTCATGTAAATTTGTAAGAAAGCTGCGGAAATTGCAAAATTTGGGTGAATAGATAGGGATTTTGAATTGGTGGTCTGACACCTTTAAAGCGAAAAGTGGTGAAACTAAAAAATCAGAAAACAATTGATTTCAATGTAACAACTGTTCATTTGAAATTCAAGAAGCCACATTACAATTTGGTTAAAAAGCCACATATTGCATGCATTACAGTCAGTTTAAATTGAGCTGTGATTTTGCAATATAAGTCGCATTTTGCTCAAATAGGATTGTTTCCCTACAAATTGACCAAGGATTAAGAACAAAGCAAAACAAATGAATTCTGATAAATTTTTATAAAGACTTTGCACAACTATTACAATGAATTTAGTAAACATTAAAGTCTTAACTGGTCATTTGAAATGATAATAGCCTTATTTCAATCTTCTTTTTTTTTTTGTTAAAAAGTCAAAAATAGCCTTAAACCTTATTGAACGTGTGCTATTTTAAGTTTTTCCCACCATTACAATTTCCATTCATATAAGAAATGTCTGACATTGTTATGAATGCACAGTAAGTTGTTTTTGTGGTATGAAACATTAAAACATAGGTTGTTTACTACCAAACACAATTGTCGTCATGGATATTTTATGGAATTATTTGATTTTACCCGTTATATCCATGCGTCATTCCATGTATAGGGCATATAGCATTGCCTAAGTTAACACTGCATAAACTCACCCAATCCAATAAATTGTTTCAAATGAACGGTTTTTACCTTAATGTTTTTGCCTGAAAGTAAATGAAAAATGTTTCATAACCATAACTGCATTGTTGATCAATTAATAGTCAATTACTGACATCTCAAGAGCCTGTGTCGCTAGCCTGTGTCGCTCACCTGTATCTACTTTATTTTTAAAATCATGTAAAATAAGGTTAAAATCATAATAAATAGTATAAGATAAGATACCCTAATAATGATTGAGGCCAAGTTTGGTTTAATTTGGCTCAGTAGTAAAATTAAAAGCAGGTCATCCCAATCTTACAATAGTTACTGAAGACCCCTTATCATTATCTAAATTAGTTTTCAAGTTGTGAAAATTTGGAATTGGGGTTTTTTTTTTACAATTTTTCCTTAGACTTCTACAGTAAACCCCTATGTTCTATTTTTAGCAATGGCCGCCATGTTGGTTGGATGACAGGGTCATCGGATACACATTTTCAATCAAGATACCTTATTGAAAATTGTGGCTTAGTTTAATTTTATTATGCCCAGTAGATTAAGTGGAGAAGATTTTTGTAAAAGATTACACAAAATTACGAAAATTGACTTTAAAGGCCAAAACTCCTGAAGGGTCAATTGACACGTTTGGTCTAATTGACTCATATGTAGATCCTACTTTGCTGAACAGTATTGCTCTTTATAATAATTACAGTTTATCTATATCTACAATAATATTTAAGAAAATAACCAGAAACTGAAAAATGTCCTTAAAATTACCAATTCAGGGGGAGCAACCCAGCAACTAAATTTTGAAGGCAGATAGATGCCTGATGATCATATTTACATCTTGTTAGAGTTGCTCTAAATGCTAAAGTTTCAGAGATATAAGCCAAATACTACATTTGACCCCTATGTTCTTTTTTTAGCCATGCCGGACACATCTTTAAAGATAAATACCCTTGTGATGACTATGGCGAAGTGTGGTTAAATTTGTTTCAGTAGTTTCAGAGGAGAAGATTTTTGTAAAAGATTACAAAAAAAAACCGAAAAATTGTTAAAAATTGACTATAAAGGGCAATTACTCCTTAAGGGATCAATTGGCAATTTTGATCATGCTGATTTATTTGTAGATCTTAATTTGCTGAACATAATTGCTGTTTACCATTGATTCATATCTATAATAATTTTCAAGATAAAAAAAAACTGCACAATTTCCTTAAAATTACAAATTCAAGGACAGCAACCCAACAAAAGTTTGTTTTTATGTCTCTGAAAACTTCAGGGCAGATAGATCTTGACCTGATGAACATGTTTAACTCTGTAAGATTTGCTCTAAATGCTTTAGTTTCAGTATTAGCAAAAAACTGCATTTTACCCCAATGTTTTATATTTAGCCATGATGGCCATCTTTGTTGATAAGCGGAATCATCGGATACTTTTTTTTAAACTAGATACCCTAAGGTTGATTTAAGCCAACTTTGGTTTCATTTGGCAAAGAAGTTTCAGAGGAGAAGATTTTTTGTAAAAGTTAATGGACGACGACGGACGACGGACGCCAAGTGATGAGGAAAGCTCACTTAACCCTCTGTGTCAGGTGAGCTAGAAAAGGCGGGTTCAATATTTCTCCACACTTTAATACCTTTGATTTTTTACTAAATTCATTGTAAAAGATGTGCAAAGTCCTAAGAGCCTGTCCATGAGAATACCATGCAAAACAGTCTGAAAGCAACATTTGCCAATCTTTATAAAATCTTGTTTGTAGGTTAACTTCATCACATATATTGTAAATACATACACTTTTTGTCTGATTTATACATCTTGGCGGTAGGGGGTGCAACCTTATTTTTTTAATGTTCCGATGAAAACTAATAGAAAATACACAAAATAAGCATATTTTGAAACAATATTTATGATTTTAATAACACGCATATTATGAACAAAAGAGGCATCAAATGTAAACTTAATACAAGGACCTCTTTATAGCCATATATGCCATAAAAATAATTTTAGTAAGCCAAGGGCAGATAACTCTGAATATTTGCCAATTTTCCAAATTTACTTTTTTTTCTCAGAAATAACCGAGTTCATAGGGTTGTTTATACTAAGATAACACTTTTATTTCTTTTGTTTTGCTTTTTTCGAAATTATTTAAGTCAAATTTATTACCATATGATATCTTTTGCTTTGCATTTGAATATTAACAAAAATATTTGCAATCAAATATACCCTCCTGTTTTTTAAAAACTGAAAAATGATAAAATGTAGATTGATGATTCAATAATTTAAGCTAATAGTGACTTATTCAAAATGAATACTGAAAGTGGGTTTTTACTCAGATTATAAGAGAGACACATAAAATCAAATAATTCTTAAAAAATATCTTGGTTGCTAAGGACTTTTAAGAATCATTGTGTTTACTGTTGGCAAAACATTTGAGCTTAAGGCAAGTTAAATTAGAGAACAAATCAAGTCTACCAGACATTATTATTTGGTCTCCATAAAAAATAATAAAAAGTAGACCACAAAGAAATGATATGCATACATAGTGGTTAGAAAAGGAAGTGTGGTGCTTTAAGATGATTGGGCATGGGGTCTTAACATCATTTTAAGCTTGTTGCCAACAAATCCTTTTTCTATGAAAGTATTTAATTAAATATTGCTGAATTATAAAACAGAAACATGAAAAAGTTGAGTTGTTGAAATGATCAGATTAGAATACAAAACTATTGTAATTATGTATTCAGAGCTTTTGCTTTGCATTTGAATATTATAAAACATATTTGTAATCAAAACCCCTCTCCCTTTTTAAACTGAAAAAAGGAGAAAATGAAGCAACTATTTAAAAATTTAATAATGCAAAAAGTGACTCATTTTAAATGGACATTGACATATGGTTATTATATGAGAGACAATCCTTTTAAAACATATTGGTTGCTAAGGACATTTTAAAGTCATTGTGTTTCAGTGGCATTGCCATTTAAGCTTTTGAAAAATTTAAATAAAACTTAATTACATTGTTTACTATTTCTTTTGACTGAGAGGAAAGTATCTTTTTGCGCTCTGTCATG